ACCATGAGGCCCAGCAGCATCCTGCCTTGCGTTAGTAGTGGCTCCCCACGTTGCGGCTCGAAGTTTAGAGTGAGCTTTTTGTCGCACGCCATGAATCGGCCACCTTCTTCCATATTGCAAAGCCTCCCTGCGACTTTCTTCCCCTTTGCCCTGCTGATTATCCAGTATGTGCATTTCAAAGAGGCCCTATCATATATTCTCATCAGCTTAACCGAGGCCGCCAGCTCCTCACTTGTGAGGTCACGTAGTACCATCGCCTTCCATTCTGTCGGCGCCGCTCTAAACGCTTTCAAAGCCCAGCCGGATTTCCCTTTGTCACCCAGTTCCCTTGTCAGGACCTCCAGCCCCTTAAGGCTGCACGTTTGGTCGTTAGGCCTTTCAGCTTCGTAGTCTCTTTTTGGTTCTTGAAAGGGCTTGTGCCCCTGAATGACATCCTCTAATTAAAGGCCAATAGCAGGGGCAGCAGTGGCGGTGTCAGAATCCTAGCGGCTAAAAGCAAGCGATAGTGGCTATAACAGTAGTAGCACGAGCGGCAACGGATGTAGTAAGGAAGGCAGTGGTTTTAGTAGGGGCGGTAGTGGCTATAGGAGGGATTAACAGGGGCTGTGGTGGCTGTAGTGGTAGTAAGAGAAGCGGCAATGGCAGTAGCAGGGGTGGCAGTGTTCGGGGCGGCAGTGGTTGTTGTAGCGGTGGCGGTGGCAGTAGCTGCAGCTGGTGGCGACGGCAGCTGCTGTGGTTGTAGCTAGCGGCGGTGGCGGCTGGAACTGCAGCTAGCGGTGGCTATAGCTGTAGCTGCTGTGTGTGCATCTCTGGCGGTGGCGGGCTGCAGCTGCTAACGCGGTAGGCTGCAGCAGTGGGGCAGCGCACGGGTGGCAAGCAGTAACTAAAGCAGCAGTGGGCTGCTCCCACGGCTGCTCCTTTGAATGGGGGCACTGCTATCGCAAGGCCCCCGGGGGCCTGGTAGGCGACGTAAGCGGGGCGTGGTGGGGCCTGCTAGGTGACATAGGCGGGGCCTGTTGAGAGGGCCTCTAAAGAGCGACAAGAAATCTGGCCATATTGCGCACTAGGGAGCAAAGTCACGAAGCGCGCTAGGAAAGAGGGAAGCGAGGCACACGAGGGAACGAAAGTGTGAAATCGAGCTAAGTCATTGGGGGGGGGTCTAGGAACGAGGAGATTAAATGCAAGTGGAAGCTTGACCTAACCTATCGCTCTATACCATATCGATAGAGGAGAAGTGCACTTGGGTAAAGTCAGGAACACAAATTCGAAGTGTTATCCCCTCTACAAACTAAAACCTTGTGTAGCCTAATAATAAATGTATATGTATAGAAACATAAAAACATATATTTGTCAGTATATCTGCACTGTGGATGCCCGATTGATCCTAGGGGGGGTTACAGGCGCGTTCGCCTGGTGGGTTATGGACGCACGGACCTGCTACACAAACAAGTCATTTTATCCCAATGGTTTAGTGGTTGGGATTTTGACATGGTATCAAAGTGGTCTCGGGTTCGAATCCCGATGTATGCACATGTAGGCCGCTGCTGTTGTGCTCGGTCCTGTGCCTCCCAGCGTGGGGGGGTGTCAGTAGATCTGCACTGTGGATGCCCGATTGATCCTGGGGGGGGTTACAGACGCGTTCATCTGGGGGGTTATGGGCGCACGGACCCGCTACACAAACAAACCCTTTTATCCCAATGGTCTAGTGGTTGGGATTCTGATCATAATTTGGCAGATGCTCTATTTGAACCTCCCATATGTTTGTTGGCGATGATGTCGTGCAGAAGGGAGTTGCAAACGCACACAGTCGCGTGATCAAGTGGAAGAAAAACGCTTGGACCGAGCGTTTTCTGCCCCAAAACGTGGAAGGATCCACAGATGTGCAGAAAATGCAGCAGGTATGGTTCATTCCAACTTGCGCTTCCGTTCACCCAGTACTTGAGCTGAGAATTGTTTGCGAACATGATGTCCAGCTCAAAGGGCATCCCACTTCTTGAAAGAGTCTTGTCCCGGCACCGGTCGGCTCACATTTTTATTTGCGATGCTGTCCACCCTCTGCTTAGGGCAGATCACCCCCATCCCTCCTTCCTTCCTTGGAGTACAGAGCAGTGCATAGTTCCAAAGGATGAACTTCTCCTCCCTCGTCACCTGCCATCGAGTCACAAAGTTATGGCATGTCTTGTGTAGCTTTGTGCAGATCTCCTCTGGGGGTAAGTTGATTTTCGCCTGCAACATGAAGATAGGGTCTATGCAACTGTTGACAATCATACCTTGTGCCGACATAGTCAAATGCTGCATCTCCCAACGAGCTAACGCTCCTCTTGCCCTGTCCCATGCCTTCTCCCAGGAGAGCCGCGGTCGCCATTCGGAGTGATCCATACCCCAAGCAGGCGCTCCAGCTCGTTCTTATCTGCCCATTTGTAGTGGAGATCCTGCGGCGCCTGAATCGAGCGGTGGGAAACGGAATTTGGTGGCGAACTCCTCCGTTATAGTTGGAATGCATGACGCATTCTTGCTCGAACGCAGCTGCACCAGTTTTATGTGGACGTCCCCCACAAAACATCTAGCACCGTCAATGCTCTTCATTGGACAGTCGACGATCCTCCTCGCCAATAGTGAGGACCCCAGGCGCAACTGCACGAGGTTAGACAAATCCGCTTGGAGGAGTTCCATGACATGCCGTATGTGGGACACTTCGGAAGCAACAAAACCCAGTCAACAAAACAAAATATTACTACTGCCCCGGATGGCAACAGGCATGCACCTTGTGTGACACCTGCCAGCAAATTAAGACTAGCAAGCAAAAAAAAGGCAGGGTCAATTCAACCGTTACCCGTACCGAGCAGCCATGGCAAGTGGTTAGCCTATAACTATTGCCCACATAACATGGGTGTTACTATAAGGTACTGAGGTTTTGGAACCAGCGGGAATAGAGCATTCCTGGATTGGTAAGGGAATTCGGTGAACAATCTCGCACACGCAATATCACACGAGATAAATAGATTTAGGTGCAGAAAATTGTGAAATCCGGCAAGCACAATCATTTTTACTTCTATAACTGAAATATGGAGTAGGAAAGGAAACTAGTAGGAAATATGTGCCAAAAATGAGATAGAATTTATGAATATGATCATTCAAGGTAGAATGGACGGCGTACTCTCACACCAGTGTTGCTGAGGTCCCCATTGATGGAGCTGCTGCTGCTGCTACTGGACCTGCTGCTACATCTGCTGCTGCTGGACCTGCTGCTACATCTGGTGCTTCTGCTGTTGCTGATGTGTCCCTGCCACACCCCCATTGCTAGCAACCTGGGCAGTCGTACCTGCAATGCCGGCCTCGCCTCCAGAGCCACCTCTTGATGCACCAATACCTCCACCACCTCCACCTCTACCACCCTTCCCTCCCTTCTTACCTCCCTTGCCTTGTTTCTGCCAACTAGTGGCAGAAAAACCTGCAGTCTCCTCGGTAGCAGACAACTCAGCTGCACCAAGAGAAGTAGTCAAGGTGGGGAGCTGGGCCAGAGAGCACATCTCAAAGTGGTAAGGAACTACTCCAGCAGTATCGGAGGCAACGGAGCGGAGGTTACCCTCGATCTCATTTAGAGTGGTCTCAATGAGTTTGATGGTAAGCTTAGTGGGGTGCTTTTGGAGAAGCGCGTCACGTACAGATGAGAGGCGGTTTGGGAGACAAGTGACGATGAAATAGATGGTGGCAACAAGTGGGGTGGTGGCTGGCAAGTTGGGTGTCAGAACAGGCAGCACGATAGCTAGCGTCGAGCGAGTGCAGGTGAGTGATTAGATCATCAGTAGTGTGAAACGCAGTAAGGTCTGGAAGAAGAACGACATGAGGAGGCGTCCCAGGGTGGTAGAGGAAGGAGTGGAGTAGCGAGAAGCAATAGCATCAAAGCACTCCTTCTCAGACGTGACCTGGCTGAAGAGGATGCACTTGGTCGGCGGGAGGAGGTTGCTGAGAGTGAGACGAGCTTGGCATGCAGCAACCAAGTGCTAAAGTCTATAGCTCGCCCTTCTGCGTTGAAATGCAGAACTCGATTAGACGCCAAGTCGCGAGCTAGCTAGATCAAGGCGACAGGTGTGCGGAAGAAGGGCTAGGAATAGCAGGTGGGCTAGGAATGCCTGGCTAGGAAGCATAGTAGGAAGCATGGTAGGAACGGCTTGTTAGAAACGGTGGGCTAGGAACGACTGGCTAAGGAATGGCCGGCTAAGAACGGTGAACTAGGAACAAACGGCGCCAGTAGGAGTTACTACTGCTTCTTGCCGCTGCTAGGAGTACCGCTAGCGAGGGAGTGGTAGGTGATGGTGGACGTAAGGTGGTGGCGTGCACTGCAGACGCGCAGGTGGTGGCGCACGCTGCTGCTGGTGCACGCCGCTAGATGCGCTGGTGCTGCGAGCGCTCTGTCGGCGGGGCACGTGCTGGCGGTGCGCGCCGCGGATGTGCGCGCTGTGCTAGCGGGTAGCGCGTGTTGGCGCGTGCACATTGCTGGCGGGGCGCGAGCTGGCACGACGCGCTGCTGACGTGCTGACTGTGTGTGCGCTGTTCTGGCGGGCGCAAGCTAGCGGGTAGTTTGCTGAGGGCTGGCAGGCTGGCTGGCTAAGGCTGGCAGTGGCGCCCTGCTAAGGCATGCTGGCTGCCCGTGCTAAGGCGGTCTAGGAGGTAGGTAGGCTAAGATGCCAGAACTAGAACAAGCGGAATGAGTGCACTGAAACAAGAAAGTGATTCAGGTACCTGACCCCAACCGAGGCTAACCATTGTGACATGACAAATGTTTCAAATACAATTCGACACATATAACCACGCCATAGGAGGGCATGCTCAACAACAACTCGTCCCCATATGCGAACTTAGAGCACTCAATTGAGAGTTATAGTGAATACATAAGGGACATGTAAATCAGGGAGCGGTTCAACATATAATGCTGCAAAAGTGGGATCTTAACACTAAAACAAGGCTAAGCAGCAATGCAGAGAGGCACCTCCAACAACCTACCTATGGCCTCCAGCACCCCCCCCGCCACCCGCTGCGCCCCCCGCAGACTCCGCAGGGAGGGGAGGGGCCTTGTACCCCATCTTCCTCCCCAGCTCCGACAGCTGCTCCACAAACTGACTCCCCGCCAGCATCTCAGTCGTCCCATACACCACCGTGCGCACTCCTGCCGCACCGCTCCCCGCTCCTGCCTTCCTTGCCATCTCTTGCAGACCCCCATACTCCATATAGTTTCCCCCTCCAATCACGAAGACAATTGCGTCCCGGACTGCCCCCCTGCTGCCCCCTGCTGCTGTGCTGCTGATTCCCCCCTTGGGGGCCTTGGGGTCAAGGCAGAGAAAAGAATCCGTATCCTGCCCGGGCCGGCCCTCCATGAGAGCTTCAACTGCCCGGGTCAGCTGCAGCTGCCTGCCCCCAGCCAAAAGATTCTTCACACCAGCAGTCACACGGGACAAACCCTGCCCAGCAAGCCGCCCGGCCCAATCCAGCAGATCATCCTTGCTGCCGCCCACGCCGCCCACTCCTCCGGCCCCACCCCCCGCAGCAGCCACGGCAGCAAAGCTGGAGTTGACGCGCTTCACCTGCTTGATGTAATGCAGAGCGGCCAGATCCACTTGCTGCTCCCTCAGCGCTGCTTCCACCGCCTCCACATCCCCCGCACTCGCATTGTCCGTCGCCATCAGGTAGATTATCGCCAGCCGTAGCTTATCCTCCTTGGACCCCCTCTTCCTGAGTAAGTCGAGCATCGCCGCCCGGTCCGTGCTGCCCCGCGTGAGCAGATCCTCCTCCATGGAAAAGTAGGCGTCGAGCGCGCGCGATTTGATCTCCTCGAGGAGCGTGCCGCCGATGGTGACGTGCTTGTCGATGACTCGCTTGCGCTCCATCAGCTGCGGCACCGCGCTCATGGCGGCCGACAGCTGCTTCGTGCGCCCCATCACGTCCTCGTCCTCGGCTTCTGAGAACACGTCCCCCGTGGGCGAGGCTGCGTTCACCTGCTCCTTGTCCTGCGTCCACTTCTTCAGCAGCATGTCCACCTGTGTGGGAAGCGAGGAGCAGGGGACAAGGCGACGGTGATTTGAGGATGGAAGGGGGGGAGAGGGGACAGACGGTTGCTGCGTTCATGTGCTCCTTGTCATGCTTCCACTTGTACAGCAGCATGTCCACCTGTGAGCGGGGAGAAATGGGGATAACGGGAAGAATGGAGAAGAGCGTGAGAAAGTAGAGCAGTGCGGGCGAAGAGGGAGAGGAACCTAGCAGTTGGGCTTGTGGCAGCGGAGATGCTAAATGCGCCCCATCATTTCCTCCTCATCCTCGCCTGCTGTAAAGAAAGTGGGGGAGACATGTGCGGGCGATGCTTGATGAAATGAGAGGAGGGATCACAACAGGGCCACCTAGGATGCCTGAAGGAGCGAAAGGAAGTGAAGGCACACTAGGGATTAGATAATCCTCAACAGTTTGTTCCAAAACTCAACCGAGCTCAACCACTTATCACCCTGCCCCATCACACTCACTGCTTCGGCTGCCTTGGGAAACGGGGACTCCGAATGAGCCACCCAGAAGCTATCCGAATCATCGAGCTCATAACTAGTCGCCTTGGCTCCACCACCCCCTCCAGCTCCCTTCAGCACCGGCGACAGCGGCCCGCTCCCTGCCCCGGCTCCCCCTGCCGCCCCTCCCTTGTGAATGCTCACTCTATTGAGCCTCATCCCCAACACATCATGCACCAACGGACGGTACGTCCACTCGTGCTGCACCCCCACCGCCAGCTCAAAATTCCGATCCGCTATGAACAGCAATGGCCGCTGAAACAGCCCCAGCGCACCCCCTCCCCCAGCCCCCGCTCCTGCGCCCCCTCCCCCAGACGCCACAGCCGCCGCTCCTGCTGCCAGCGCCCCTGCCGCTGCCTCCTTGAAAAGGTTGTTGTGTGTGGCGAGGTGCGCCCTTAGCTTCGCATCCAGCTGCCTGGCCACCATCTCTGCTGGCCCTCTCTCCGGGCAGCGGATCACGGGCACCACTCCCAGCATCACCAGCACGCAGAACAGCCCGTTCACGATACTCTCCACTGCCCCCTCCACGTCCTTGTCCTTCGCCATTGGGTCGTTCAGCCGCACGTAGCTCTCGGGCTGCCCGAGCGAAAACAACCCGTGATCAAGGCAAACAAACTCCAAATACTGATCAAACACCCTTGCCACGCGGTGTAGGGCATTCGCCTTGAGGGTACCCGCTGCGAGGTCTTCTAAGAGAAGGCGAGGCACGGAGGAGGTGAAGTTGAGATGCATCTTGTCGTACGTGCCGCGCGTGGCGTCCAGCACGAGGCGCTGCATGTTGCCCGCTGTGGGCTGCAGGAAGTAGACTGCGGGGACGTCCGGGATGGGCTGGCGGTCTGCATCGACCATCAGATGGAGAGTTATGCCGTGCTTGCGCAGGTCGGACACCTGCAGGGAGAGGGGAAGAGGGGGAAAGAGGAGGGTGAGGGAGGGAAAAAGGAGGGTGGGGGAGGGGGAACAGGGTGGGGGGGAGAAACAGGAGGGTTGGGGAGAGAGAGGAGGGTAGGGGAGGGAAAGAGGAGGGTGGAGAAGGGAGAGCAAGGGAGGAAGTGGTGAGCTGTGGGCACGTCCAAAATGAGGCTGAGCGACTGGCGTCCACCAGTCAATCAGATGTTGTCGCAGTTGCGGGAAAAGGCGGCAGAAGAGGAGGGCATATGGGGGATGGGTTGGCGATCGGCGAAATGAAATTGGTTGAAGATTAGAGGACGGGAGAAGGGAAAGTTTCGGACTCTGGCATGCCGCCCGATTCTACCTTGAGTATACTAGACACAAGCTTCACACCTTGAGCACCGAGCCTTTCCTTGACCACCGAGCCTTTCCTTAAGCACCGAGCCTCGTCCTGAGGAGCGGCGATATGAGCTCTCTCAAGCATCTGTCCAGCAGACAGCACCTTGCACACGTCGCCGTTCGACGACAAGGATGCCTCGCCTTCATCGCCTGGTTTCACCTTCCACGCGAGGAGAGAGAGGAGGCGTCACCTTGAGGAGCGGCGAGATGAGGTCGCGGGAGTATTTATCGAGCAGCAGCACCTTGTACACGTCGCCGTCTGACGCCAGCCCGCCGCCCACCGTGACTGTAACGGGGCTGTTGAGGTTGAGCATGCGCACGATGGCGTCTGGTGGTGCGCACGGGCGAACAGTGGGATCGAGAGGGATGAGGAACGGTGAGTGGGAGTTGAAGGGATAAGCGTAGGCAAGGAGGAGAGAGGCGTGTGGTGGGGCTGTTGAGATTGATGTGCGCACGAAGGCGTCAGGTCCGCACGGACGAACAGTGGGACGGAGGGGTGAGGAGTGGTGCGATGGAGGGGTGAGGAGCGGTGCGATGGAGGGGTGAGGAGCGGTGCGATGGAGGGGTGAGGAGCGGTGCCATGGAGGGGTAAGGTTCGGTGAAGATGGAGGGGTGAGGTTCGGTGAAGATGGAGGGGTGCGGAGCGGTGAGCAGGGGAAGAAGAATAGAAGGGGATGGAAGGGATACAGAAGGCAGTGTGGAAGCGAGGCAGCGAGGCAAAGAGGAAGTGAGGCAGACAGGCGAAGAGATAAATTCCAGTAGCGTGCCGGCGATGATCTTCCTGTCAGCGAGAACCCGCGGAGCTTCTGCTACCTCTCACCCGATTTGCCGACACATGTTGCGTCCCCACAAGCGCGTACCTATCTGCTTCTGTCGCAGAGAGAGCGCCATGATGCGATCGCCTCCTCTGCCTCGCCTCCTCAGCCAACACCCCTATCGCGAGGCCTCTATCGCTGAAGCTTCTATCGCGGATGCCTGCTGCCTGCAACGGGTGGGAGGACGATCAGAGAGTAGGCATATCACATGTCCCAGCGTGATTATAATGCGGACGCTTGCAGAGTATGAAACAGATGACACTAATTGAACTATAATGTGCACTAACGTAACGAAAAAATCCAGTTTTGATTGACTAAGGAATGTAACAAAGGCGATGCTAGACGAGAACAAAGTCTTGAAAAATGCTCTCAACGAGACGCTCGACCAGAATCAGAGAATTGCCTTGCCAACGACTGACGGCGAGTGTACGGAGCTCCTTTCGATGCAATTCGGCAGAGGTCTTCCTGACCCAAGAGATTCTCGGCCCTGGAGCTTTGTAGCTGGGACAGGGAAGAGGAAAAGAGCGCAAGTGACGGAAGGTAGGGAATAGCGAATTCGAGCTTTTGAGGCCAACGTTTTCATCAAAGTTTGTTTTGATGAGGAAGCAGATCCGACCGAACCGAACCGAGCGAGCCTTGATTGGTGAAAATGTTTTCCCGCACTGGTGCGACTGTCTTGAACCAGAGCAAGTCTGACACCCTAAGTACGCGTTAGGGCGTGGAACATTTGGGACTTTTTCCAAACGAACCGTACTGCATGGACGGTTAAAAATGGTCTATACGGTAAACGCTATGGGGTACGTTAAAGTAAGTTCCGAACGATTGGTTCGTTTTGGAAAAAAATACAACCCCAAAATGCTCCACGCCCTTAGATGAGTTTCAATGAAATCACCATTCGTCGAAAAAAATATCCTCCCTACCATCCCCCCAATGACAATGATAATTCCAAGGCCGCCATGGCTGTTCCCAAACTTGAACTAGGCGACGGTGAAGCCCACATGTCAGCTGGCTTAAAACACAACAGCATTGTGGTCGCCTCGTTAAGATGAAGAGATGGGTACAACCAATGTGTTCATCTTGTTGCGATCAGAAGGTTGATCGTGCCCATGGCTGATTTTTTCAGACTAAGTTTGTCTGATTGTCTGAAATTTCAGACCTTTTTTTCTGATTGTCCTGATTTTTTAGAATTGGCTGTTTTTCAATAATGAGTGCTTCAGACTTATGTTTTTCTGGATACTGAAAACATGAGAGCATATGCTTACCGAATAATGGGTTCCCTGACTACAAGGAGTACGGTACAAACTCTGAAGGTAATTCCTTATGGTACCTTCTACAACATTTCCCCTTCTCTACTGTACCCCCCCTGCTGATGTTTACCGTTAGTGAACTCTGCTTAGTCTGAGATTTTCCTGAAAGCAACCTCCTCCTCATAACTGTTGCACGATCGACGTGTCGCCTGACTCCAGCGCTTTCAGTTCCACGTCCATGGCTGCACGGCACTCTTTGGAGTGTGGACCCATGAGCAGCGTGTAGGCCGAAAGTTGTAGGCCCGTGACATTCTCCTCACCACGCCTTTCCCGGATAGCTACTTCAACCACGTCGTCGTTATCGCTGTCGTGTGCAGACGGAGTGGTCCGTGCAGGGTCCTGGCGCCTAGAAGGTCCGTTCGCAAGAGTGTCATCATTATCATCATCATCATTGTTCGTCGGCGGGGTCGTGGTCGAGAGCCGCTGCTGCTGTCTCATCTACGGGGGAGGCGAAGCTTCTGCCACTGTAAGCATCAGCTTGTGTTCGTTGATCCTCGAGCCGGTTGTTGGAGGTGAGACGTTCGTTGAAGAGAATGTCTCGTGCAGGTACGATCTTGTTTGTATCAATGTTAAGGATCAGCGAGCCCTTACATTCATAACTGATGACCATGTGAACTCCCCAACGTGCCCGATCAATGAGCTTGCCGATGGTAGCAGATGTCGACCTGTATTGAACCATGCAACCCCAGACCCTTGGCATGGAGGCGTCTCCCATTGTCCTAGTCCACTTCATGTGGGGTGAAGGGTATCCCCTGTTGGCTGTGGCGGACAGGAGGTTGAGAAGTCGCACGGCGTGGTGCATAGCGTAAAGCCAATACTTGAGAAGGAGGCCGGACTGCTTCTGGAGCGCCCAGACTTTCGTCATAAGGGTGCGATTGACCCGCTCAGTGACGCCTTGCTGCTGGTGAGCATAGGGGAGTGAGATGTGGCCCTAAATCCCCGTCTCTGTGAGGAAGCTTTGTAGCTCTCCTTTGCGCCATTTGTCAGGCAGATTTTCAGCTTCTTTCCCGATCGTCGCGGCGCGTGAGCCAGCCAGACGTGAAAAACTTCAGGTGCCTTCGAGCGGATGTCGACGTTTGCGACTCAAACATAGAGCGAGTTGGCGTCCACGAAGGTAGTGTAGCTCTCATCATTGACTCCGCCGTACCCAATGACAATGAAGTTGCTTTACACCTTCTGCAACTTCTTGTAGCGGTTGGTTCTACTCTAGTGAGGGGTAGGCGTGATGCGCAAGGGCAACTGTGAAGCAGATAGTGCAGATCTGTGGTTGTGAGGTCCTCCGTGGTTACGTGCCGTCAGGGCGTAGTAGAGCGCTAGGCCGGAAGACCTTGGCCGGTGAGGCATGTATTTAACGTCTAGCGCGAGGGGTGGCTGAGTCGTTGGTGCCAGAGGTCATCATCTGCGCGACTGCAGGTATCGTGCGTGATGCGCGGCTGCCTCTGCTTCTGTCTTGTGGGAAATGTAGAACATGGATCCTTCTTCTTCTCCTGGTTCTGCTTCTACTTCTTCCTCTTCGTCTGCTTCTGCTTCTGCTTCTCCTTCAGCAAGTGCTGTTGACAGATAGAGCGCGATAAAATTACTGTCGAGGATAGAGTTGAGCGGAGTAGTGGTTCCTATGATGAGTTGTGCGAATGGATCAGGGTGTGGAAGGGGACCGTACGCGCCGCGAGCCAGAGTTAGGGGTTCATTGCCTCGGTCGAGGCCGGTCCAGGTAGAGTGCCAGACTTGGGGTGAGTGAGGTGGTGATGGCAGGTTGCGCGGATGTTGCCTGAGGGGAACTACGACTCTTGGTCTGCTCGGCGGCCATTTCCCTTTCTGCCTCCTCTTGTTCTTCTCGTGTGAGGCCACCTTCAGTCTCAGTGTTCCCCCAGCCTCCAGTGTTTCCCCGGCCTCCTCCGCCGATGCCCCAGCCGCCTATAGTGTCTGAGGCACCAGTTGCTGACGCCCATGTTCCTCCTGTGTTGCTTGGGTCTTCTATGTTGCCGCATCCCCATCCTCCGTCAGTGGGGGCGGATCTTGCCGATTCGGGGTCCCATCCTGCTGCGATTCGCTCCTGAATAATTTCTTCTCTCTCCTCTTGCTTCGCTTTCTCCTCGTCTTCCTTGACGCTAAGCTCCTCATGTGCAACAGGATCCCCACTCCTTGTTCTTTTCGCGGCGATGGATCTTGCGGGTGTAAGGAAGTGGCTGGTTTTGCTCGTCATGCACTCCTTTCGATTCTCCTTCCAAGATCCAGCGGAGGGTTTCAGCTGCGGGGGCGGGCCGCTCCTCTTCGAGTACACCAAGTCTTTCTGTTTGGCACCAAAGATGCGGTAGGAGACAGTCGCAAGTTCCATCTCTGTCATGCCTTCCGTAGGTGGTGCAGCGCTTTCCGCTTCCTCAATTGCTGCCAGCTCTCTCTCGACTGCTTCAATGCGGCTTGCCGTGGGCGTGAAGCAGCTAGTGCGACGTCCATCAGGCCCAGGTGAGTTCAGATTTATCTTGCAAGGGTGAGGGCTGCATCTGATCCAGGGCCGCCGTCAGGGTGCTTCCATGAGTTTTCGGACTTATAAGCAAAGTCCATGGGAATGAGGTCGACGAACTCGTCAGAGGATGCCTTGCAGTCAGGAAGATCGAATTCAAGAACGTAGACTCTGTTAATGGAGCGCGCTCGCCCGAGGTATTTCCAATCTTTGACGGGTTTTTTGGGAGGAGCGTAGTGGAGTTCAAGATCTCGCGTGTAAGGGTTGGTGGTGAACGTGAACCCACACTCAGAGAGTTATCCTGCGGACAGCAAGTTGAAGGTGATGTGCGTGTTGGTGTCCTGTGCTTGTAACACAACTATGCCTTCTGCGTTCACTCGAAGCTGATTGTTGTTGGCGACAGTGACATAGGTGGCCGTAGGGGTGGCGGTCACGTTCGAGATGTAGCACAGTGATCCCACCATATGCTAGCCGCAACAGGTGTTTAGGTACAAGTTGTTGTGGTTGTCATTGTTGTCGCGTAGGAGTAGCGCGAGTCGCGACGTCACGATAGTCGCCGTATCGAACCTGAGAAAATCGTCTTGCTCGGCCCATCCCATGGGGAACCGGTCGCTGGTCGTTGCGGTGAGGAGTGCTCTCTTGCAGCTGGATGGGTAGGTTCCAGTCTTGATCGTTCTCATCTTCGTAGTAGTAGTGACTGTCGGTGAAGGGATTCTTGCGATCCACTTTAGGTTGAATCAATTCGTCGGGGGGCACCTCGTCTCCGTTAGGCGTAGTAGCTCGTGTGTGACCGTGGGTTGCCATGTTTGCGATTCCGTTTCTTGTTCCTCCGGTCTGAGTTGCGAGCTGCTCCTATTGCTGTATAGGTGGACGGGAAGCTTGAGGTTGAAATTGACGAACGTCTTGTCGGCCGACCCAGTTGTTATGGTGAGTGGAGTTCAGGTGGCGATTGTTGGACCGAAATCTGCATCGGTCCGTTGAATGTCCGAAGGCTTTGAAAATTTTGAAGTAATGGCGCCGTGGTTGTCGTCGCTCTTCTTGGTTGTCAACGTAGAAGGCAAGGCGTTCTCATCGCGGCGCGGAGTTCACCTTGAGTCCATGTGTTGTTGTTCGACGAGAAGTGCTGCACATAGGGCAGCCTCCGAGATTGCCCCCTGCTTTCGGAGTAATTCCTTACAAGGCTTCCACTCTGGCCCGAGTCTGTGAAGAAAGAGGAATGAATGAATTAGGAAAGTGTGTGATACAAGTATGAAACCCTAGAATTGAGTACCCCTTAGTGTCTACCCCGCTACAACCTACATAGGCTAG